AAGATGTCTCCGTCTGGCACACTGCAGCCTGCCAATGCCCTCCCACTTCAGTACTGGCAGTGACATAATCCACGTATACTACACCTGGGAGCCGATGCCTGAGGAGCTGAGTAGGAAGCTGGGCCATGCCCAGGCAGTTGGGAAACAGGCATTTGCAGGCAGTTGTCGAGCCCTGAAGTTGTTCCCAGCATCCACCTTCAGAATCTGTCTGCTGAGATGGGCATCTGCCTCAACTCCATCCTTAGTAACATCGTTCCTCAAGGTTCCCCACAAAATTGCATGGAAGGAGTAATCTCTCTGTGACACAAATTGCCTTTGGTTTCATAGTTAGAATATATTGGGCTCATTTGCAAAGATTTTGAAGCAAGATGGCAAAAACGCACAAGTGATTTACCTAAAGATGTAGCCAGAAAAATACCTTCATGACCTAGAATTACTTGCTCAGCAAAATCTCATTATGGACCAATTAAATGGTTCCCTCGGCATTAAAGCAACAGTAGAGAGCAAGTTCCTGTTACTATCAATAGCAATGGTCACGTGCGGCAGTCCAGGATTACAAAGCAGACAGTAACAGTACATATGTGCTTTAGAATACGTGGCCTTTAAAGGCTGAAAGCATCCTTGGTGGCTTTGATGGGTCCAGGGTGGACGTGGAAAAACAAGGGAGTTTATAGAGGCTGTTCTCATCTGGTGGGGACCACATTCCTCCAGTGCAATCAAGAGTTCAAGGGAAGGAGAGAAGTGATACCTTTTAGACATGTTCACTGACTCACAGTTCCCTGGGGCTGTGCTCGGTAGCCTGGTCCTGCTGCCCCCCAGTGTCTACGAAGAACTCATGCCTTCTGTCCTATAAAAGTTTCCAGCAATAAAGGCTCTACCTGGAGAGCCACTCCTGGGAGCTACCTCATGCAGTAATGATAATGGATGGCACTGAGAAACCTCAGCAGGGGCTGCTTCATTCAGCTATACTGGTAAGGGGAGACCAGCCAGGACTCCAGCAGCTGCAGAAACTATCCAGTTATGCCCCTAGGCTGATTTACTTTATGCAAATGCTGGCTGGCTCCTAAGAATAAGTGTAGTTCAAACAGTGAAGGAAGCATTTAATGCATTTGCTCATTTACCACTTACCAACTACAGAGATGGTCAAAGTATCAGTAGTGTTGAAAGTCTTTATTGACACCTTTGATAAGGTTCAGGGTTGTCAGGATGTCAAGGACTTCTGCAGTTAGTTCAGAATTGATTGCTACAAAGCTCATACGTATCATACGTGTTTGTTGCCACTCCCTCCCCCCCACACACACCTATCTCTTTCTAACTAAATGTGTACAGCCCAGGTCCAAATTGCCCTTGTTTGTAAAATGTAAAAAGGGGTTTCCTTACAGATAGCTGTAAGCCAACAGTGGTACCCACTAATGCTGTCCTTGAGGTTTCTCTCAGTCTCTTTGAACTCAGTCCCTTTCTGATGAGCATTCTGCCCGCTCCCTTCTCTCAGGTCCGGATAGAACTAGGAGTGAGGCACGTGGTTGAAGTGCAGGAGAAGCTTTCCACCTGCAGAATGGCCAAGTCTGTCATAGCCAGGTTTTTGACCTTCTCGCTTTCTTTCCTGAGTTCTTCACTGTCATTCTCAGCTGTGTGAGAAATCCCAAATCAGATCCCACCCTCTAGGCTCAGACATTTCTTTTCATACTTGACATTGCCAGTGAGATGCTTACAAGCATCTTAGATTCGACAGACCGTTGATTTCTGTATTTTCTGCTCCACCTCCCCCAAATGGTTTATCTATCATATTTCAGTATAGGGTTCCATAGTCTACCCAACCACTAAGGTCAGCACCTGGGAATGATCCTTACCTTCTCCCTCCCAGTCATCCCCAAACATACACTTAAGTGAATCTTAGGATTTTTAAAAGTTGAGAGAGAGAAAGAAAGGGAAAGTAAACAATCTCAACAGGGTCTTCTGCCACACCTTCCCCTTTCACCTCACAGTCAGCCAGGATCACAGACACAAATACGCATGGACATGAATACGCAGGCCTAGTGTGCAGTTTTATCCGGGAACCAAACCCGGCTCTTCCAGAAGGCTTCCAGCATTGCAGAGCATTTCACCATTGCTGTGCCGCCATGGCTGGGCCAAGGGGTATGATCTTTATCTCCAAGATCTGTACACTTCTATTATTCTTTTCCTCCAGTGGCCCAAGCCAACACTATTTCAGCCAGGATATGGCAACAGCCTCTGGGATCTTTCTTTTCATATTTGTCTCCTTCTAATATACATCTTTAAAAGCATATGCTATATTATGTCACTCTTCTGCTTGATAACTACATACAACTTTCTATGGTGCCTATTTTTTGCTATAGGGAGTATGCGCTCACCAGACAGACAGAAAGAGACAGAGAGAAAGAAAGCGAGAAATCACCCCCCAAGAGGGGATGGCCATGCTGCAATCCCTTCTCGAGACTCCATTCTCCTCTCGGGATCTTGGGCACGCACACACATGCGCCCAGCGTGAGTTTTAAGCCACCGGGTCCGGGATGCGAACCACAGTCAACTACATGGGAGTCCAGCGACATAGCCATTATGCTAACTGCTGGTCCCAATGGTGCCTATTTTTAAATCAGTTCTGAGAAAATCTCTGCCACTATCTTTTCAAATATTGCTTCTATCACATTCTCTTTCTTTTTATCCTTTTGTGTCTATGATAAAATGTATTGAGTTGTTGGAAAAGTCATGATGCATTTTTGCATAGAAAAACATAAAAAAATACATAATGATTTTCCAACAACCCAATATATTAGAATTTTTCACTTTTCCCCTTACTCTTTCTATGTTTTCTATCTTTTAATCACTCCTTGCCCCATTTTAGGTATTTTCATCTGACTTCTCTCCCAGTTCTTTAATTCTTTCGGTACATAGTCTAATGTATTAGAAAATCCATACATGTAGTTCTTTTTAAAAAGTTTTCCCCCCTCTTTATTCCTAATAGTGAGTGTGTGTGCACATGAGAGTGAAAGAGAAAGGGAGAGATGAATACTCTCCACAGTCTGGTCACACCATGAGCTCCTTCTTTCAGTCCTCCAGTCCATTGGCTTCTAGGCATCACACTTGTGCCAAGCATATCAGGCTGATCAGGCCAGGGTTTCGGATTCAAAGTGGGGTGCCACATGGGATCCAACTTCTCTTCAGTAACACATTACTATTGGACTGGGAGCTGACCCCATTAAGTTCTGAATTCTGTTGTGTTTGTTTTTCTTAATTTTATTATTTTAAATATTTTCTATGTTACCTTTTATGTCCTGCTCCTTACAGATTTATGTGTTTGTCTTTTTTCCTCTAAACACAGTAATCATAATTATTTATTGTTCAAATCTGATTATTGTAGTATTTGTAGTCTTCAGGCATCTGACTGTTTTTAAAAATGAATTTTACTATTTCTTGCTCAAGAGGTTTTGTTTCTTTATGTGCCTCATTGTATTCAGTGCATTGCTAATAACTGTCCTTAAAAATGTTTGTATGTTGGCTTTTGATTCTGCAAACTGGAGTACTTTCAGACAGGACCATCTAAGTCTAGGTTCAAATCTGAGGGCCCACCAAAGTGACATATGCTTGCAAAAGCGGATTTATTTATGATTCATGCTTTCTTTAAGGCGATAGTCTTGGGATCCCAACTTATTGAACCTCTTACTGTATTTGGGCTTATGCTTTGATTTCTGTTGTCCTTGATCCCTGAAAAATATAAAAATGGAAATTTAAATGTTTAAGAATTTGCAAATACAATCAGATTCATATTTATCTTTAGGTTTTTGCCAGATATGTCTTCCTATATTGTCAGTTCAATGATTTTAAAAGGACTTTTTAAAAAAGGTAGTCCACCATTAACAAAAATTTGAATTTCTCATGTTTCTGTAAGTAAAAATTTTCTATTTTTAAATTTATAAGAAGTCTAGAGTTTGAAGGGTAATCAAGTTTGGTTGTCAGGATTCTATAGATCTATGTTTTTTTATTTTTTTTTTTTTTTTTTTTTTTTTTTTAAGTTTGCTATAGGACATTCCTGAGAACTTTTTCTTCTTCTCCCTAATGACTTTCTTATAACCAAGAGGGTTTAATTTACTGCCTTTTTTGTTCTTCCATGCAGATGTAGATGAATGGCAAGAGTCAGAAGAAAGTGTTGAACACATTCCATTTGTTCACATCCGGTATCCTGAAAAGGAAATGGTTAAGAGATCTCAGGAATTTTTTGAACTCCTCAATAAGAGACGGTCAGTAAGGTTTATAAGTAATGAGCAAGTCCCAATGGAAGTCATCGACAATGTCATCAAGACAGCAGGTCTGTAACTGAGTGTGGGGTCTTTGAAAATGTCAGCTGTCTCCGTGGTGTAATAATATTGGAACAATGTCGAAATTCAGACAAGAGTGAATAAAGCATAGAGTCATATTTTATCTATAAACTCTTACCCAGGCACCAAATAGCTATGAGAAACATGATGACTTCTACCTTCCACATTTTGACTATTAGAAACTTCTTGGGAGTGATGTGTAGCAATCCAAGTCTGATAATTGTCTGAACTTTCTGTTCTGATATAGAGAAACTAATGTGTAACTTTGAAGCAACCCAGGGCTGGCTGATAGTTGCCTGGGCTTTCTGTTCCTCCACGAGTTAGCTGCCCCTCCCTCCTGAATTGTTGGGTGGCTGGAGGCCTTGAACACAATGAAAACCTACTTCTCTTCCAATTCTGTATTAGGATGGACACTGAGCCCTTTTCCCTTATAGGACACTCAAAGCATGCTGAACTGCCTCTCCCCAATTCACTCATAAAAGACGGTGCTCAACTCTCAGCAGGGGCTGAAGATTCAAAGTATTAACTCCTCTGTGCCCACTAGTGTAATAAAGAGTTCTCCTTTCCTCTCCAGAGTGCTGCGTTTTCATCCCTCGGCGTCTGTTTTTCTGTAACAGGAACCAATGTGATCATAGTTCAAAGCTTCTGAAAATACTCAGTGTTATTAACTTGCATTAACTCGTATTGTAGTAACAGTGTTATTAACTTGTAAAAATAAGATTCTGAACACAACATTATACACTGCGATGTTAAGGGTTAAGAGTTTTCTAACTTATGTTTCTCCAACAAAACTGCCAACTCCATAGTGCTTTACTCGGGGCTTTGATACAGGTATGGAATAATTTATAGTTTAGTTGTGTTTTGAGGAGCATTTTTGAAACCATTTACCATTTTCAGTGAGCTTCATGACTATTCTTATTCGAGAGTATTAAAATGAATGACACTTTGGAGAATTTTGGCTTTCAGAATTTTCCTTCTATTTTCTGAGTGGTTGGTGCAGTTACTGAGGGACATGTTCTCCCACATAATTAGGGCAGAGGATTAAATTCCCACGACTCTAGAACTACTGGCCTTGACCTTGAGGCATCTAAAGTGATGCTGATCACAGCAGAGCTAGCAGCGGCAGGCAGCTGCAAGCACCCTGATTTCCAGATTACCTGATTTCACTGTGAACAATACAAATGATGATATTGATTCTTCCTGAACAGCCTCAAGCTTTTCTGCAGGTTTAATTTCTGGTTTTAATTTAATGGATGACAGGAACAGCCCCAAGTGGGGCCCACACAGAGCCCTGGACCTTTGTAGTTGTGAAGGACCCAGATATGAAACACAAGATTCGGGAAATCATTGAGGAGGAAGAGGAAATAAACTACCTGAAAAGAATGGGACACCGATGGGTTGCCGACCTGAAGAAACTAAGGTACTAATGGTAGTGGAATTAGGGACGTTCAGTTTGGCTTCTTACAGTGAAATAAATATCATTGCAGTTTCTGTTTTGTTTTTTGTTTGTTTGTTTTGGTATTTTTTTAGAGACTTTTGGTACAGGGTGCATGTACTCGCCAGAGAGACAGAAAGCAAGAAATTACCCCCCCAGGGTGGATGGCCATGCCACAACCTCTTTCTTTTCCTCCATTCTCCTCTTAGGAGTTTGGGCACACACACACACACACACACACACACCTGGCATGAGTTTTAAGCCTCTGGGTCTGGAACTCAAACTGCAGTCAACTACATGGAAGTTTAGCAATGTAACCATTATGCCATCTGTTAGTCCTGCAGTTTCCTGATTTTGTTTTAGGTGTTCAGAAGTTTGATTCTACCTCTAAGGAGGGATTATGAAAGTTCAGTCAGGCATTACCCCTGTAGTGCCCCATGAGTGTTCAGTAAATAAATAGGCCCTGACTCAAATACTTAGTAAATAAAACTTAGAGAATTACTTCACTTTTCACCCATCTGAAACAAAAGATTGCCAACTACTTTTCAAGATTTTTTTTTTTTTGGAGAGGTTTTTGCTATAGGGCACATGTGCTAGCCAGAGAGACAGAGAGAGACAGAGATAGAAAGTGAGAGGACACCGCCCCCGGGGGGATGGCCATGCCGCAACCCCTTCTCCTCCATTCTCTTGGGACCATGGGCACACACGCATGCCTGGCGTGAGTTTAAACCACTGGGTCTGGGACTCGAACTGCGGTTGACTATATGGGAGTCCAGAGACATAGCCATTATGCTAACTGCTGGTCCCTTCTCTTCTTTTTTTTTTTTTTTTTAAACTACTTTTCAAGATTTTGAGTGAAACAAATTAGATTTGGCTAAAGTAATCAGGTCTTCCAAATGATTTTACTAAACAGGCTTTGGTTTTAGTAGAAAAAAACAACACAAGTTTTGTACAAGTCTACCATCTATCAGGCTTTAGTAACTGTCTGGGCTTCCTTATTTCTAAGAAAGAAGTGGAATGGAATTCAGTGAAACTGGTTTTACTGTGATCACTACTTGGCCCCATCTCCTCTTCGGCCAGAGTGAGGAGGAATGGTGGGTGATAGCATTGGCTTTCACCTCTCAGAAGGCTCTGAAGGGAAGCTGGCCAGTCCTATGCAATCAGAACCTAGAGGTGCCCCATGTCTCTGGGTCTCAGATGTGGGACACTAGTGGTGGGTTCTGGTAATAGCCAGCAGCACCTCACTGTGATGCAGGCCTAGGAAAGGATGATGGGATGGCAGTGTTTGGGGTATGTGTGGGTCTTATTGCTGAGTATTTATTGTGACAGTGATGAGGAGGTGGCTCAGATAAAGATGAAAGAGGCAGACTGAGCAGTTCAAATCCTGAACCTGGTGGCTTAAAAAACACACTGGGCACATGTGCATGTGTGCCCACAATCCCTAGAGGAGAATGAAGGAGAAGGGATTACAGCATGGCCATCCCCTGCCTCCAAAGGGATGTGTTTCCTCACTTTCCCTCTTCTGTCTCTCTCCAGCTAGCACCAGTGCTCTGTAGCAAAGAAACAAACAAAAAATGTGGACAAAAATCCAGCTCTATTTCAATTTAAATATAAAAGGCAAATAACTGTGTCTTATTTTCAGCCTAAATAAGCTAAGTTTGCAAAGAGAACAAAAATTAAGAGAAAATATATTCTGGAATCTCTTTTTTCTCCCCAGAACCAATTGGATTAAGGAGTACTTGGACACTGCCCCTGTTCTGATTCTCATTTTTAAACAAGTACATGGTTTTGCTGCAAATGGCAAGAAAAAGGTGCATTACTACAACGAGATCAGCGTCTCCATCGCTTGCGGCATCCTACTGGCTGCCCTGCAGGTTCGCTACACCCACCCCAACCCTCCAGGTCCAAGGGCAGCCTCTTTAGTAAATTTCAGCTGAGTTTCAAATCCCAGGGCATTAGGAAATTGTTAATCTGAAGTCCAATTTCTAAACATGGTAACTCTGATGTGAAAACTGACTGGAAACCTGGGTTGGTGAGTAGGATGGTTCAACAAGCTGGAATTCTTCCCGGAAATTCACTTGTAACATCATTTCAGGGCTGAAGGAGTTGTCATGGAGTTTGCTTTCATTTGTAACAACATGAAATTTCAAGGGTTTTGGCAGACACACATGGAGAACTTCAGAGCCTGAAAGTCACCATGGCTCATTCCCCATGTGTATTTCTTGTTGCTAGCTGAGATTCTGCAATGATTAAAAAGCTATCCGGAAGATTCTGAGAAGTTGAGTTTACATCAAATTGTAGTACAAAGATAGCCTTTTGCTTAAAAAAAATCTCTACATAGTAGCTAGAGTAGTCCTCCCAAGAAATGCAGCAGGACTGAGGCATTCCCGCTGAACCATTCAGTCGTGTACCCACAAGTATTTTCTGAGTTCTTTCCATGTGGCCATCCCTGGGAGGCACCAGGGATAGCTGTCCCAAGCAGCACATTCTGGAGGGGTCCAGGTTCCTGGTGGGGAATGAAGCAAGACAGTGAACATGTAAAATAAATACAGCAAACAGGAGTCTAAGAGCTAATGATCATATTTTCAAGGGACAATCAATTCTGAAAGCATGAGCTTCTTCACTGTCTCAGAGAAAAATCTGTATGCCTGAATCACAGTTTACACAAGATACTCACTGTGACACAAAAGAGAAAGATGTTTTTAGATCACTGGAAACAGTGGCTAGAGGAGTTGGCATCTGATTCCCTGAATCCATAAGCAGATAAATACAGAAATTGCCCGTGGAGCCCCATCCATTTTACGGTCCTGGAGGAAGCCCTTTCAGCCTAGAGCAAGCTTGGTTCACCAAGAGGCTCTTGTGCTTGAAAGCAGGCTCCACTTTATAGTTGTTTGCTGCCCTCTAGCTTTCTATACCAGATTGATTCTCAGGATAGGTCCTGATTTGGGGTTAAGAAAACTCTTATGGAGCCCTCACCCAGAGGGCAGTGACTAGGCAAGTGTCTAGCCATGCAGCCCTCCTAGGGAAGGTTTCAGAGCTTTTTTCTGACTCAGGCTTAGGGGCAATGATGTGATTGGAAAAGCCAGAGCAGCGCAGCTAGCAAAGTGTATGGAAGTGACATCTGCTTTCATCTTGAAGTTTAGTATTTGGAGAGCTTACCCTAACATACCTCTAGGCCATAATTTTGTAGTTGTTGGTGTTGTTCAGAATAAATTATGCTAGTATTTATTTCATATGTGAAATGACAAGATGTAACAGCAGGTCTACAATTGCGAGGTAGTGATGAATGGGATGGCATGATATTTTAAGATATTTATAACAACTGTAAAGTAATATAACAATACATGTGAGTTTTTGGTCATAAGATCAAAGATATTAATAATACTGTGGCTTGTTGTCTACCTTTATTTACTTATTGAAGTTTACTTATTAGTTATTTGGAGAACCAGAGAGAAAGTGAAAGAGAGAGCGAGAAAGAGAAGATCCCCCTACACATACACACACACAGTCTTGCCACACTGTCATCCTTCCCCCATGCCCTCCAGCAAGTCTGGATCATGGGCATACCTATAGGCACACCTACATGTTTGGGTTGACCTGGGATCCAAACCCTGGGTCTTCCCTATGGCACCAGTATTAGCCAAGGGTGCTCCACTGTGCCACCTTGACTGGGCCTGTTGTTTACATTTATAAGTGAAGAAACTGCTACATTTGAGTTAGATGTTAGTGAATATAAAGCTTTGTTTTGTTTTATTGTCCAAATTCATAGAACTTCTGAATTCAATCCTTGGGCCTTTGGAGTTTGAGGGTTCCAAGTGAAGAACTCCTGACCTTAATAAGACCAAAAGAGTCATACTGAAAGAGATGAAAAGACAGAACACTAATTGAAGTCAGGTTAATATGGGTGAGCCCAGAAGTTTCATCCTGCAGGGCTGACCATATGGCTCAAATCCCAGCAGACTGAAAGGCGCACTGTGTGCATGTGCATGTGTGCCCAGAGTTCCAGCCAGATGGAGAAACGGAAAGAATGGTTTGTAGCATGACCACACCCCAGTGAGGGCTTGCTTCTCTCTCTTTCAGTTTCTCTCTGGCAAGTGCATGTGCCTTCTGGCAATTAAAATAAACTATTATACATTAAAATACTATGTGGAAATGTGATAAAGGAAGAGAAAGACCGTAGCAGAGACAATCACCTTTACCTGGGCTTGTAGCCTCTTTGCTACCCAACTTCGAGGAATCCATAGGTGAGCAGGAGCCACAGGGACGAGACTATCCCCGGCTGGAAGCAGAGCTGTGATTTTTACCTGCTGACTTTAAAACATGCCCTTTCCTTCCTCTGTTTTAGAATGCAGGCCTGGTGACTGTCACCACCACTCCTCTCAACTGCGGACCGCGTCTGAGGTTGCTCTTGGGTCGTCCTGCACATGAAAAGCTGCTGATGCTGCTCCCTGTGGGGTACCCCAGCAAGAAGGCCACGGTGCCTGACCTCAAGCGGAAACCTCTGGATCAGATCATGGTGACTGCATAGGCAGGAGCCACCAGGGAGAGGATGATACCGCTGCTCTTGGCTCCATCTTCTCCCACCCCCTCAGTGCCAAGGTTCCTTCATACTCCACTCCGTAGGCTGGCCACTCTAGGAATCTTGAATACTGTCCAGTCTCCAGCCCTCTGAGCCTAGTAAGGTGTGTTCCTGTCAGACTATCTGAGTAGAGGAACATACAGAACAAGAGATCACAGCTATGCACTTTGGTTTTGGATCCACTTTGGAAATGCATTAACATTTTATAAAGAACATGACCGTTCTTTGTATATATGGCTGAAAAAATCATCAGAAACTAAATGTAGTCCCAATAATTTAGCAGTGTGATGATTTTCTTTTTTAATTTGCTAAGGGTGCATGTGCATGTCAGAGAGAGAAAAAGGAAACAGTCCCATGGGCCATAGTCACACAATCCCTGCTCCTTTATTTCTCCATCCTGGAAGGATTTTGCACGTGTGCCCAAAATATTTCCTGAACCACTGGGTCCAAGACTCAAGCTGGAGTCAGCCATGTGGAATCTGGCTCCGTTAACCATCAGGCCAGAGAGTCAGTCTATGGGATGATTCTTGAATTTTAATTTAGACTGGCCAAATGGCCTTTTGCCTTCTGGCTTTAGGTAGCTTTTAGACAAAAGAGAGCTTTTGAGGTATACCCTTTTACTGAATTTCATGGATATTCTGCTATTTTGAATAATTAGCAATCAAAGTAACTAAGAAGTCACACTCATCAGACATAGCACACCCGAGCAGCATGGTCTGGCTGGCAGTCGTCTGTGTGTATGTGCCATTAGTTACACTGTCTGGTGTTGGAGCTGGCTTAGACCAGCTTGTGGAAGCTGGCTGCTAAACATTCAGGAATTGCATGAGCCAGTTACTAAACCATTTAGAATTTGAAAGTGCCCATGGTGGGCACCACAGCAATTGGAAAACACTACAAATTAAGGCTTATTTTCTTTTTCTGAAAGACAACTATTTACCATATGCTGACTATGTCTTCCTTCTTTTTCATTCTGCTCTATGAAACATAATGACCCCTTATCTTCAGATGATAGTGAAGCCTTCTGGAATTGATGGGGTCACAGTTTCCAGGTAGGAATGCCAGACTTAGTCTTTCTCTGTCATCTTCTGTCTTCCCTCTTAGGGGGATTATATCCACAGGCACACACACTTATAGTGCCAGTAATTTTTCATCAAACAACCCTACTCACCTCTTTATCCATCTCCACTGTCCCTTCCTTCTATTATTTTTCTAACTCAGTTGCCTTGAGAAAAATTTCTCTTGCCTCTTTTCATTCCCTTTGTGAATCACACAATGCAAGAAAAACTCCTGATGTCACTGATAAGAGCTTGAGCTGATGACAATCCTGTACATCACCAAAAAGGAAGACCTTTCTTTGCTTTAAATTATATTTAGACATTACAAGAACCAGTGCATTTGACCCCAAAGTCCTTTAAAATACACAGAAGTCTCTTTTGGAATCTCCAAAATCTTCTATGTACATCTGCAGTTTTCTCTAAATAAGCTTTCCTCCAAATCTATACACTTCAATATTTTAATAGATACAAGCTTTCTTACATTTTATTTCTGTTCTTTTTGTTGTTTGTATTTGTTTCGTAGGTGTGCACTCAATGGACAGAGACAAAGAGAGGGAAAATAAGAAATCATCCCCCAGGGGCATGGATACACTGCAATACCTTCTTCCCCTTTCTCCTCGTAGGATTTTAGGTATGCACACACACGCACCCAGCTTTATTATTATTTTCTTCTGTTGTAGAGGGTTTATTTTACCTTAGGCTATGCAGAGAGAGACAGAGACAGTGAGAGTGAAAGTGAGAAATCACCCCCTGGGTGGATGGCCAGGCCACAATTCCCTCTTCTCCATTCTCCTCCAGGGATCTTAGGTACACATGCACATGTGCCTGGCATGAGTTTTAAGCCACCTGGTCCAACACTTGAACCATGATCAGCCATATGGGAGTCCAACAACATAACTGCTATGCCATCTGCTGGCCGCTCAGCATGAATTTTATGCCACTAGGTTCAGGACTGGAACCACAGTTGGCCCTGCAGGAATCCAGCACCTTAACCACCACACCATCTACTGTCCCTCTATTCTTTTCTTTTCTTTTTTTTTTTTTTAAAGATATTAGTACTGTGGTTAGGTATTTGTCCCTTACACTTGATTGCAAGTGAACATTGTTTTAGCTACACTGTGGCTTCATTCACAGCATGTGGGCTGCATTGGAAACCTAACTGCTCTATATAATTTGGTTTTATAAGAAAAAGATGTGCTTAGTTCCAAATATCAGAATAATAAACACACTTTGGCATGGAAGTCTAAGGAAATCAAGGATTTATTTACATGCTTCTCTTCTATTTCTCATGTCCAGGAACTGTTTGAGATCAGGGAATTCTTTACTACTGGGTTAGTCCACTCTACTGAGGAGAGCGAAGGTACAGAGGACAACGTGCCTCCTCCTTATGGTCTTGCCGGCCCCAAAGGAGGAGAGTTGGGCATGGGGTAGAAAGGGGCCTGGCCAGCTGTGGGCATCCAGGCCCAGAGTGGAAGTGCAGAGCCATCTGAGAGGTAGGAGGGAGTCGAGGCTTCCACATGAATTAGGGTCTTTCAATGAAACATTACAAAGCTCTAGCTGGTCCCTTACAGGTCACTGCACCCAGGAGCACAGCCCTGACTTTTCACAGATGCTGAACAAAAAGTGCTCTCTCGTACTATTTTGTGTGTATGATGTTAACAGAAATGCCTGCAACTAGGTGAATTTAAAAAAAGAGAGGTTTACTTTGACTCGCAGCTCTGATTTGTTGACATCACAAAATAGCAGAAGGCAGAACTTTTTAGCACTTTTGAGCAGCACTTCTGACACCATAATCAGGTTACATTTTTCACTTAACAATAGTCAGGACACCACACGTGAATTTCTGGGGGGCATCCAAGTTTAAAAAAACATGACCCTTTGGTAAACAAGCTTTTCTCCAAACTATAACAGGTATGGCAGCATAGATTTGAGAAGCACCACAGCCCTCCTTTTCTGTGGGAGATGGAATCAACCATAATTCTGAATTGAAACCACGTAGCGTAGACAGAGCTGGATTCAACTTTCTCTCCTGGTACTCACAGGCCAGGTAGACATGGAAAAATAAACCTTGCTAAGCATCATTTTCTTCAACCGTAAAATGACAACAAAGATAGTTCTCACCTCTGAGTGGCTGTGGCAATTGAATGCGATGATCTGAATGTGTTTCCTAGTGTATTGGAGGTAATAGTTAGCATTAGCTTTTATTTTATGTTTTAAGGCAGAGTCTCACTGTATCACGATCCTTTTGGCTCAGCCTCTTGAGTTGCTGGGATTACAGCCATGTACCAGCATGCCCAGCCTTTCATTTGGGCTAGGACTCAAACCCCAGCATCCCATGTGGTCCCAGCCTGCAGAGCACGGTGTCTTAGCTGTGCTCACCACTGTGGCTGGGCCAGCTTTAGGTTTCATTGTTGGTTCCTAACAATATTATTATTATTAATACTTTGTGCTGTGTACATCTAGGGGAGAAAAACATCCTTTAAGAATGTTTCTCTTGGGAACCAGCAGTTAGCGTAATGGTTGTGTCACTGGACTCCCACGTAGTCAACCGCGGTTCACATCCCGGACCCGGTGGCTTAAAACTCACGCCAGGCGCGTGTGCGTGCATGCCCAAGATCCCGAGAGGAGAATGGAGGAGAAGGGATTGCGACGTGACCATCCCCCCTGGGGGGTGATTTCTCGCTTTCTGTCTCTATGTCTCTCTTTGTCTGTCTGGTGAGCACACGCGCCCTATAGTGAAAATCTCTCCAAAAAAAGAGAATGTTTATCTTAATGTACTAAGTATTCTTAAAATAGAAAAGAAATATTTCTGTTTTCTGTTTGTACCTGAACTGTGTTTTAGATACTTCTGGTTGTATTTTGGCAACCTCTATATAGGGCCCCTCTAGAAGTCTATTTAGTCCAGAATTTTTATTTGGTGATAAAATGGCCACTGGAAAACAATTTGGGCATATAAGTAAGGTCCCACAGTAATGATCAGTATCAGTAAAAAAGGGACAAATATTATGTATTCAAGCCAAAAATGTCCAAATAGAAACAAATGAAGCCTCTACTCCTGATTTCTTGTTTCAGTGAATACAGAGGGTAAACAAGTTAACTGACAGGGCAGAATAATCAGAGTATGGGTTATTCTATAAGAAATCACCCTAGACTCATTCAGGAGTCAGTATCCTAAGAGGTGGGGACTGTCCTTCCTTGGTACTCAAAGTGCGGATCTGGGGAGCAGCAGCATCAGCAGCCCCTGGAAGATTAATGTTAGACTTGGAGACTGTTGGGCCCCACAAGGACCTCTGGGATCAAAATCTGCATTTTCACAAGATCCCCAGGTGATCTGGTGCACACTGAAGTTTGAGAAGCTCTGTCTCAGATCACCAGGGACATAACAACCAAATGTTAAGTATAAACCTTGATTAGATTCCTTTTTAGGAAAAAGCAAATACATACAAAAGACAACTTGGAAATACTGAATGTGGACTGGTGCTAGGAGGTGCTGAAGTTATGTGAGTGAAGCATGCTGAAGCATTCAGGGATGGAGCATCATGTGTCCAACTTCTTTCAAACAAAGTATGAAAATGGGCAACTTAGAGAAATAAGGCTGGAGCTTCACCTTGATTGCAGGTAATCATGGAGGTAGTCAAGGAGGGGAAGGATGCCCTGGGATGAATGTAAAAACCATTTCGTCCTGCCCACTCCTGGAATGGAGAGTTTTTCAGCAATCAGAAACATTGTACATGTTATGAGTTAGATAATGGTTTGTCATTCAAGGGCTCAAGTATTGGAATTTAGGCCCAAATGTAATGGTGTTAAGAGGTGATGAGACCCTGAAAAGGTGAGGACTAGTGGGTTGTGTTTGGTTTATGGGGATACCAGCCTCCTGAATGGGTTAATGTTGTCTCATGAGAAGGAGTGGTCTGAGAAAAATGTCCTGCCGTACATGTGGGTGGGGCCTTGCCAGACAAGATTGACGTGTGAGTCAGTGGGGAGAGAGGAAGATCCACCTTCAATGTAGGCAGATACTGTCCAATC